TATGAATTCTGTCTTCGTGATGTCTTCATGAATCTGAACAACACCCCCACTAGAGAGACAGATCTGTCACCTCGGTGAGAATTTATAGGTCGGGGGAAGAAGCTGATCTGACGATCGAGGGAAAATGAAATGCTTTCCAGTGCAATTTAACTGAAATAAATTAAGATTCGTGTCACCTCGCTCACCGAGTGCATACATATCTGTGGGTGGATATCACAAATCCAGCTCGTTTCCTTTCTGTATCTTCCGTTATTTCAGGAATCTTTTCCTCGTGCTCGGGACATTTGAGAAATAACTGTGTGTAGCACGGCAAAGGAATTTATAAGATGTTGGACAAAAGCCTACTCGCAATCCAGGACTTATCATTTTTTTAAGAGCGTGGTAAAATGTATTTCTTCATACCAAATGAGAAACCCTGTCTAACTGGTTGTCTTGAATAACACGGATTTCTCGTCTTGTCGCCCCTGCTAATGAGAGACGAAATTCGTGCCGCCTCAAGTCGCTTCGTTCAATCCGCAGTACCTCTGTAGATTCCTCTACTCCTATTATTTCTGGACCTGCGCTTATCCGCTTCCTCATAACGAGTTTTAAAAAAGTACCCCGAAGCGGTTTCTTCCCACCCTGCTTATTCTATTCCACGCGTTTGTCCAGACATACCGCTCTTAATTATGTATCTTTTTTTTTTACAAAAAAGGAGTCATGATTTTCAGCGGGTGAAAATCTTTTAAATCTCTCGTGCTGCCTTGTAAAAAATGCCAGTAAAATAGACGCAGACTCTATGGCAGGCTGTCCGGTGTGCGACTCCGCTCGTTTACTGGGGTGTCTGTTAAAGTTGTTCTTGAGGGGTGTGCGGGAGCTTATTATTTGAAACACACGCTCTTAAAACAACCTTATAGAACATCGTCGTACTTTCCAGAGCCAGCGTCTTCAACCTCCTGACCCTGTTACTGTAAATATGAGAGGAGTGTGTCTGCAAGCACCCGTCTTTACAACGAGCCTGTAAAAGGCGGCTTCCCGTCTTGATATCGTTTTGGATTCAAACGTAATTTACTCCAAAATATTATACGCGTCCGCCCCTCCAAGAAAATAAATGCGAATAGAAAAGATGATTTAGAGACTTTTACTTAGCTATTAAAGAAATTAAACGCGACTAGGGACGATGCTATGTGCTTTCCCATTTTATATACGAATGAATAGTAAACAGCGCAGTTTTTTTTTCCAGCCAGAAAAAAATACCAAACACAGGGCAAGATGTGCTATTTTTAATAAAATGTTTTATAGTATTTTAAAAAGCTTATAAACCCCGTAATACAGAAGTTAATGTTTTGTTTTGTCTGAAACCGACCTGGTGGGTGGCACCTTCTGTAGCGCAAATTGGCCCCGGCACGTGACCCGAAGGTGACCAATCAGGTGCACCTCTAGGTTTAACTATGTTAAATGTCAGATTGCAATAAACTAGAAGCTGTTGGTCGGGCCCGCGGAAATGGGCGAGCATAATCTTCTTAATCCCGGGTTTGTGGGACCGTTGGTAAACATCCACACGGGAGACACTTTCTATTTCCCTAATTTCAGAGCATCTGGGGGCCAGCTGGCGGGTCTACCGTCTCTCTCGTACCCTAGAAGGGACAACGTTTGCTCCCTCCCGTGGAACCCCTCGGAGCCGTGCAATGGATACCCTCAGTCTTACCTTAGCAGTCCCATGTCCATTAACCCTTCAACATTCAACCGCGCCTGCGACATAGCCCGGCCGGAGGAAGGCAAATGTTACTACAGTAACGGCGGCGGCAGCCGGGAAACCTGCTCGGACAGCGCGAGCCTCAAGAGGGAGGAGCGGGCGCGGGACAGTTCTTCCATCGCTGCCGAGCACGGGTTGCATAACGGGATGGGCAGCGGCGGCACCTTCTCCAAATATGACTACGGTGCCGAACCGATGACCCAGGACCCGCCGTCCTGTCAGTCCCTCGAATCCGACTCCAGCTCCTCGCTGCTCAACGAAGGCGGAAAGACCCCCGCGCGCGACCCCCAGACACTGGCATCGCCGGGCAACCACTCCAGCAGCATGGCCGCGAGCGGCGGTGAGTGTCCTGCATGCACGCGCGCCTCTGTGGGTAATATTTATTGGGTAGTATTTGCTTTGTTTGGTTTGGTCTTATTTGCTACCTCATAACTCTGAGCCGGCGGGGCAAGACTGACTGGGCTCCCAGAGAAAATGGGCTTGCAGGGTTGATAGGCACCGCTAGGGGTAGCACTTAAAAAGCTCCACGTTTTCAGGCGATAGTACGGAGCCTTTTACACAGCCACTAAATACTAACAAGACCATAAAAAACATTGTTACTGCTGGGAGTTAATTTTGCTATTTCGGCTGTCCGCGCAGCATATGCATGTGGAGGTTCTTCCTATGCAAAGCTTCCGTCGTAATGGAAGAGCCCGTTTCGAAAAGAATTGGCCCGAGGGTACGGATTGTGCAGCGGTACGGGTGGAATTACTGCGAGATTATTTAAAGGTATTCTCCGTTGTGGATGATTACACCGGGGAGAGCAGTTTTTATTCGTTTTAATGACTCGTAAACAGAATTAATATCGTTCGCTGTTCCCATTTGAAGCCAGTTAATACGCCCCTGAAACGGCAAATAATCCGAAGGTATTTGCAGGCGAGGCTTCATTATCACGTTAATGCTAGGTTTAACTGCAACAGTAAAACCCCATTTGACACGGGCTACTGTAAATTATAGTCTGTAGTTCTGTATAAACAGCACAGGAGACTGTTACAGATTAGTTTACACGTCTCCTTTCTCCCTCCTCCTTATTTATCTTTGATGGGGTTTTTCCTTAAACAAGCCCTCAAAAACCTCTATTTCAGTGCTAATTGGCAATGACATAAAGATCTTAAAAGATACCAGTACTCAGAACTAAAAACGATATATTACACTCAATCCATTTCGAAGTTATTTTGTAAATATCTCGCAATACCTAAATCGTTATCGCAAGCACTTGACCTCACTGCTAAAAAAAAAAGACATTATCCAGTTTTATTGTGAGCAGCTAATACACACAGCCTGTATAACCTAATTGAGAGAGGATCAAATAATTTCTATTAAAAATACCACGTTTGCATGGACTTTGCACTTATGTTCTGATTCTGCTTTTCCTGGGAATAGTGTCACGCACGCATACGCGTGACAATGTACAAGCACGGCACCGCTGACCACACAGACGTGTCTAAGAATATTTGCAACGCGGGGGAATCTGTCCCCGGTTGCCGGCAGGCAGGAGAAACAAGCCTGTGTGTCGCTCCGTGAAACAGTCCGGCTCTTTCCTCTCTAGGCGCGCCCTGGTACCCGCTGCACACCCGGACGCGGAAGAAACGCAAGCCTTACTCCAAGCTGCAGCTGGCCGAGCTGGAGGGCGAGTTCATGCTGAACGAGTTCATCACCCGGCAGCGACGCCGGGAGCTGTCGGACCGGCTCAACCTCAGCGACCAGCAGGTGAAGATCTGGTTTCAGAACCGGAGGATGAAGAAGAAAAGACTCTTGCTGAGAGAACAGGCTCTGTCCTTCTTTTAAAAAAATAAAAAATAAAAGAGGCATAACAGCGAAGAAACTACCGGTTAACAGTATACAGTCTAACGACGTACGCTGGTAATTGATCTATTTCAATTTTTATTTTTTTTAAGGCATGTACTCGTTCTCTTCTCCAACCTCCTTAAAAATGCCAGCATGAATGACATAAATACCACTGGGTTCTTAAAAGTAGCACATACCCAAGAAAGCAAATGACCAAATACCAATAAAGATAATAGTTTAATATTTTATATAATGTTGTTTTGTTTCTCGGGGGCAGTCGACGTGAGAAAGTTCGGTTTGTGACAGTCTTTTCCAGTCCTCACAACACAGAAAACGCCGAACAATCGCTTACTGGACAAAAACGTTTCAGCTCTCGGAACAGAGTAACGGAGCGCGATTGTCCACCAATCGTTCAACTGCTATTTAGCTTTGACCTCACGATTTGAAGACATCTTTAATGCTGCAATGGTCTTCGAACTTGAATACAAATGTTTGTCTGTAATTATTCTTGTTGTATATTATCTGATAAATCGGTATGTAGAAGGTTTTTTTTGTCTTATTCAGGCGAATGACAGAAGTCATCTGAAATGGACAGAAAGTGATCTTCTTTTCTCTCGTTGCTGCTGCAATCGTCAGTCTTTATCAATAGTTTAGAATCTGCCTGTCACGTCGCATGACTTGTAGCGTGCAACCAGTAGCACTGGTCACAAATGAACTTCCGCCAGTAATGAATATAAGCTAGAGGATGCTGAAAGGTGCCAAAATACAAAACAACTTTGAAATAACTGAATTTGAAATAATCGAAAGTCCTGGACAATAATTCGCCTTTTACTCTGAGACGCAACCCTGAATGTTTACCGTGTAACTGAATGTATGGCATTCAGTCCCTTTGGTTCTTAAGTCAAATGAACAATGCAGTTAAAAAAAAAAGCTGAAAGCTATTTCATTTGGATAGTTTTTGAGGGCATTATGTAATTAGAAGTCTCCATAATGAAACCAAGACAATCACATTAATTTGAGGGCGAGCTCGGGATAAAACTGCGAATTTCGTGCTTTTTCATGCAGATTTAGTTGCCTTTAGAGGACCGGTAGTCTCCGTGCGCTTTCCGGCACGTGCTCCACCGGACTGTCCAGATCTCGGACACACTCGCCTAGTCTGCTCCGCGGACGGTACGAGACCACTGAAGTCTCCTTGCTGTCGGCTGGTTTCATTTTTTTAATTTTTTTTTTAGATTCTGTTCGTCTTCTCACTCTGTTTTCTGCCCGAAACTAAAGATCTCAAAAGATCTTTAAGAAAATCGTAATGTGCAGTCAAGGATTCATTGATCATTCGACTTTTGCGTACAAATAATATTTCTCTGCAATTATAATCTTGGATTAGTTTCTTTTTTTTTTTGGCCATAAAGATAAAAGATACAGATGAACATCTCATTTGTCTCGCGAGGCGAGTCAGTAATAAGGCGGGAACGAGCCGACTGGGAGCGAAACGGTTAGACAGAAAACGCATCCCGGCAGCCCACGAGTTCCGAGAATACGTTTAGATATCCGCGCAAAACAGAGATGTGAAAATAGACGGTTGTTTTCCAGAAGAAGGGATTCGACTCTAAGACAAGCAAGGGGGGGGGGAATAAGTGGAAAAGCAAGAGGGCAGTTACAGAGTACGTCCGGACCGCAATACAGAAATAAAGAGCGATCAAACGTCCGCCGATAGTTCTTAAAAACCCGCAGAACAGAACACGGTTCTGCGAGGGCAGTATGACCTCGGCATCCGCTTGCTTTGTAAAGTTCTGTCCAGAATGATTGTAGGTTTGACTTGGAATGACGCTGGTGGAGTGTGCACGTCGCGAGGCTAAAGGCTGTCACAACACCGACTCCTCTCCGCGTCCTTCTCGGAGCGCGTCCACGCGGGCGCGCAGGTAGTCGTTGTTTTGATCCGAGGTACGTTTCTTTTTTATCTATCCTGTGGCATTGGAACTCGCCAAATCCTGTCTGTTGGAAATGAAATAATAAGAAGGAAGCTACCTTTTTATTCGAGAAGGTTGTTTTTTATTTTATTTTTACTTTGTGGAAATCTTGTCTTCCGAGAGGAACAAGAGTGACTGAACCATTTTAAACACTTTTTTCCTTTCAATTCAAGAATGGAATTAAGTTGTCGTTCGGAATTTCCTGGGACTATGATATATGCAAAATCCTTTTGATGGACCTGCTTACACAGAAGTGGTGGTGCTGCTTACAAAATGTTTTTTTTGTTGGTGTTGTTCTTGTTCTTGTTCAATGTGTGGAGGAATCCAGTTTTTCAGTCTCGTGTAATCTATTGTCCAAATAAGTAATTACAATAATGATGAATACTGCATCTTCGATTATAATGTCCCTTGTGTGATATACATTGTTTTCTCACCTTTTAGTTCAATATTTCGTGATGCATCTATTCTATTTATGTCGTCTCCAGATGTAGCCAGTCTTCTATGAATATCATGCTATAAGTAAAATGAATGTATTAATGTACGTGTAAGATTTCTGATGATAAATAAAACGTGTAAACTTTCTATCTTAATCACTTTTTGTTAGTGGAAGTGTTGGTTTAAGAAACAAACCCAATACAGTCTAGTCGTCAGAAAGCTGCGCTGGTCATTCCGAATTCTAACATTATTTAGGAAACGCTGTATAATACGTGTTTGGGGCTTAATGTTGTGGTGAAATTCGCATTCGTAGTGCGCAGAAGTTATTTTGGATGGGCACAGCCGTTCCTAATATTGGAATATTATGAACTGACAACTCCACTTTCGAGAAAAGGGTCGAGAAAATCTAAATATTTACTTTGAGGGTTTCTATTTCCAGATCAAGCTGAACGCTCTCCATATAAATCTGTTTCTCTTGTTGGCTTGAGTATATTCCTGCGCGATTGGAAAACGTTCAAAATGATCTACTGCCCATTTCGTGTTTATTTTTACCACGGTTTTAAAATTGTGATGTTTGACACATCCAAGAGATTCCAAGAACACTTGTCTGTCTCTAAATCTTACTAATAATCCCGAGCAAAAAAGGAGAAAGAAACAGTACTAATTCGGTGTATCATCAGTTTAGAATGCAAAACCTGTAACGGTTTAACACGATATCGTTCTGTGAAGGGGGTTATATTAACACGGGTTAGCGCACACGCTCTGTCCGGTGAAGGGAGATACTCGCAGTGAACTCCTTACCGGACATGTCATCGCGGATCAATTTATAAGGCGGTGGCGTGTGCAATGATAACAATAAAAGTGCTTAGATTTCCCTTTATACCCTGTCCGTGCTGGCTGTGGTTAGCGTTGTTTTTACAGGTTGCAAAGAGGAGGCAATAAAAAACACGAGAAGTCTCCCAATCGTATTCGACTCTTCGAGTGTGTGAGTCCCAAAATCCGAAGGCAAAAGTGTTGCTATTTCACTGTCAGGGGTGTGTGTTTTTTTTTTTAAACAAAAATGCAATTAGTAGGTGTCATTATACTGTCTTGTCCCAAAATACGGCGCTCTCATTTGCATCGCCAAACTTACAATATTTAAATATTAGGATTAGGGGAAAGGAAGGTATTATTAAAGATCCAGATGGGGGCCAGGAAAGCAGCCAGCGTGCTTGTATCCTATTTCAGTTATCGAAATGAGACGCTCATGGCAGTGTATTGTATGCCGCTCACTCTCGGGCCTCCTCGCGCCCTGCTGCTCCATCTGAAATGAATGAACTTTGCTGGTTCGCAATTTCGAAGCAGGAACAGTTGTTTTTTTTTTAAAAAATCAGTAATTCCCGTTTCAACATAAATTATTGTGTCAAATCACCTACATAGCATATCAAATAAATATGGCTGTAGCGCGCATGCCTGAGGTACTTTGCATTTCTGTGCTGTGTTTGACAGAGGGCAACTATAAATTTGTGTGCCTCAACCATTATCTGAGCTTTCTAATAACGGCTCACATGTTCAGATACTACAGGCCTATTAGCGCCTGGCTCTCTTAATTGCGCATGTGTGAATCTAGCCGGCCTGACTCTCTAATTGCGCATGTGTGAATCTAGCCGGCCTGACTCTCTAATTGCGCATGTGTGAATCTAGCCGCTTGCTGAGGTTTACGAACAAATAAGCGAGGCTGACTGTCGTTTTGCAGTCTGATTTCTTGTAAATCGGGGCTTATGGCTTTGTAATACTTTATTGCTATCGCTTTACTGCATTGTAAAATATTGGACACTATAGAGAGAGAGCGTGTGAAGAAGGGATGACAGACTAGCTGTAATGTAAAGAACAATTCATATAATGATGATGTTGATGGGACTGTAATTTAAATTCGTGAAGGTGACGACACTTTTGTGCATTGATACCTCCTCTTAAAAAAGCAGAATGTGCATTTGTAAGTGCTGTCATAGACAAGGTACATCAAAGGTGCCTTATTTTTCGACTGTGTTGCCTGTGTTGTCGCAATATTGATTCCGGTTTAGTTTTTAAATGGTGGCGAAAGCAAGGAGTGCCTCTTTGGTTTATCATCCGAAGCACCGGCGTGTGGACAATTCTGGTGTGAAAAAAATATATTCACATCTCCCACTGTAACTTTATGGTTAATGACAAAATCATATAACTCGCGCTGCTAAGTGTCCCTTGCTCTATTTTAAAAGGCAGCCCTTCAAAGATATTTTATAGGTTCCGCGATTGTGTCTATCGCGCTGTCCACCGCGTGATGTTAATTTGATTGTGTGTGTGTGTGTATTCCCGAGCCGTGCGTAAACACTCACAATGTCGTAAAAATCCACCAACATCAACAACCACCACTTGCACGCAGACCGGAGTCGGTTCCTCACCGCCAAGCACGGTGGACCGAGGCCAAACCCGCTCAACCCATTCCTGGTGTTCTCCATTTACTATTCCGACGATGTGGTTTAATCTCTCTCGGGACATTCAGGGCCGATTGGTTTTAGTTGCAGCTCTGTAGTCGAGATAAGAACGCCTTCGAAACTTCGTTCTTTGTCGCACAGAGATGTTGAATTTACTTCGCTACCTGGAGGAGAGAACGCCCAAGGGGAATCCTCTTTAGGTGCATAGCATGACCTCTGCATGTTGCCTGTCAATTGTCATGCCTGTGAAGGCAGCTGATGTAACATACTGGCACCTTGATGCGGGCTGGGGCCCATCCGTGCCGCGGCGTGTGTAAGGCGCTTAAACACGTTTGCGCGGCCGCACACGCAAAATAATCTCTTGACTAAGCGGCAGCGTGGAGTGGGTAACGCGATGGCAGCGTGGTGACCGGAGCTGTCGGTGGAGGTGAACCACTTCCTCTCGCAGACGGATTGGCCTTCCTGCAGTCTACGGCCGAGAACCCGACCCATCCCCGTGTCGCTGCACTGTGTAAACAGGCCGGTACAGAGCCCATTTTGTAAAAGAGGACTAGATACACTGGAGAGCCTGACTTGAGGGAGGACTAAATTATCCCACCAGTGCACTAACCCGATTGCCCAGGCACATAGGCCCCTATGGCTGTATGATGTGCACCAACCATGTCAGTCAGTTGAATGGCAATACGTACGTACGCATACGCGCCCACGACCTACAGGCAAGCCCTGGGTCTGTAAAAAGATGAGCCATTTTCTTCAGTGATGATGACGAGCTCGACGACCATCGCTGAAAATGAAGCCGTGATTGATAGTTCTACTCCAAGAACGGTTCATGTTAATGTGTGAAAAAAAAGTGAATGTTACCCAGGAGATTCCAGATTGGAGCAGAATTGTAAGTGGCGGGAAAAATAATGCTTAGGAACCGATAGGCTCCACTCCAACGAACAACAACAAAAAAAAAAACAGTTACGGATTTATTTCTTTTATTGCGCCGTCGGTGAAGCCAGCCTGAAGGTATATCTTGATCGTTTTAACACCCATTAAACTCGAGAAGCGTCAGCGCCTCTCGCTTGGACGCTCGTCTTAACAGAATCGGAGAACTGAATAAATCACGGCGAGGTGCTGAGGCTGAGGCGGGGAGATCCGCCGTCCTCGGGGCCGGAGACGTGCGCCGGGCCGCAGGCTTTCGTCCCCAGAAGCGCTGATAGATGTGTTCACGTCTGAGCGCCGGTGGCGTGAAGATGCTCCGTAGCCGTGATCCGGCAGCACGCAGCGAGGCTCGGTTTATGGAGCGCATATGCATTCTGCGCACGAAACGGACGTAAATATATGAACACATACGTGACTGCAACCTGACTTTCCCCCCATTACAGACAGACACGTGGGATATTTATAGATGATCTACGCCCAGCCCCGAGGTGTATATCACGCAGAAAGTTAAAAAAAGACTTGAAAATGCAATTGATTTCAATCATGATTCGCCCACATGCACGCATACTGCAAATACACCACAATAAGACTCGCTCCACTTCATGATAAATTCATGATAAACTTCAGAATTGCATTTTTAAATATTGCCACATTTATCAATTTTATCATTTAGTTCTCCGATCCGTGATTTTTGTTTTTGTTAAAGGTAAATATAGCCTTGAATGATTAAGCCTTTTTTGTGTCGGAGGTGGATTTGGATTGTAATCACTTATCTCAAATGATTTCCGGTCAGTGTCGACGCCTTTGTTAACTAAGACAATGGCTGTAGCCGCTGACAACTGTGATTGAGACAGATCTGCGCTCTCTCTGCCTGAGGTCTCTGAAAACACAATCTGCAGGTTTATGTTTTATGCGCTTCAAATAAGTCTGACGTATTTCGAAATACAATTCTTTCGAAATATATCCTTAGTTTCATGTCTTGGAAATACGTATTTATAAGCCCGAAATAAAAAAAAATACGATTCGTGCAAAACGAATACATACAATTTATAAATAAATTAAGTCATTTTCTTAGTACGAGTTAAATATATTTTAAAACATAAAATAAAAAATATCCTATAGTGTTTAATTCCGGATGAAAAAAACAGACCGCTTAGAGGAAGCTAAACCTGCTTAGAGGAGTTAAACCCGACCGGTAAAAAGATTCTGGTTCTGTACCTAAACAAGTCGAGCCGGCTCGAGCGTTCCAGCAAAGTCACGGTCAAGGCTTCTCGAGACTCGAGTGAAACTTCTAGAACAAATGAAGAGCCCGAGACCGAACACTGACTTCCGCTATCTCTGCAGAGCTTCGACCCTTGATGTTTTTCACACTAACCTTCCTGCAAAACTAAAGTAGCGCCAGTTCATGTCTTAATGACAGCGAAAGCGTCATTCTTAACTATAGCTTAAATTCTTTTTCCCCCCCGTTTGGTTCTTGTCCTCAGTGAAGAGTTTACAATGGCTGCTGCAGAAGGCCGGCGGGTTTGCCGTAAAGCCGGAGACTGAACCTGGACAAATACTCGATATGGATAAATACGACTACAGATTCTGGGTCTGTTTGTTTGACATCTCAGAAAGTAATTTGTGCTTGCACACTTCCAGGTATTACTATGTTCCGTTCTTTAAAATATTTCCAGTTCTCAGTTCGAAGTGGAAAAGCATCGTAACATTAATTTGACAGCTCCCTTCTGAAACTACGAAGAAAAACAGTGA